ATCACGTTCACCTTTAACAAGGAGAACATGCCTCAAGTGAGTCATCCTTTCAGAGGAGAACGATTGAATTATGAGCTTTTGAGCTGTTTTCCCCTTCTCCAAACGTCTCCTCCACCCTTTTCTAATTCGGTGAGCGTAGTGGGGCGTGAAAGATCAGGTTCTCTTCATCTAGGAGACAACGTTCCTCATGGGTGAAGTTTTCCATGCTGGTTGGATTCTCGCAAGCTTTGTTGTCATATCCAAACGCTTTTTCTTCAGATGAATAAAAGCGCAAGAAATACATCTTGTACAATAAGCTCTGGCTCAGAATCCCTTTCCGAACCAATACATTCCTGAGCTAATATCCCGTAACGGTTTAATACTTAGGCAGTTATTGAATGAGAGCAGAGTTTGAGAAACACCGCTGGCGGCTACCCACCAGCCAGCCCGAATTGCTGAATGAGAGACAAGCGAGTGCAACAAAGGACAGTGACAAGCATAAAAAACGTGGTTCTTCTACTAAAGGGCTACAGAAACTAGGGAGGAGTGTATAGGATTAATATTTTACAGGGGAGAGGGACCTTGCCATCTTTGTCTCATTTGTCTCAACTTTCTCCCAACCGACTAAATCTTTCATTTTGGTCTTTTCACCCTACCCGCACTGCTATTGGAGGCAAACCTAAAAACTGAGAAGTTTTGGGGATTTAAATGCATATTGTGCTAATTATTTTGTTGGAAAGTGCTTAAATATGAACAATCTCATAAGAAGTCTTTCTGTTGTGACAGGGCTTGAGTGTGGAACATGTTTGTAATGAGCTGAGGCACTGGTACCTGCTTAAGAACCTCACGGCAGAGTATGCTGTGTCCATCACCTGTGAGCTAGCTTCATCAGCCAGCAACGAGATTCACGTCAGCATTGTAAGTACAGCTTTTCAACCAGTTTAAATGGGTCTAACATTTAAAGATGTTTCTGGAGGGCCACCTTTAGCTCCAACCTGTTACAACACACCTGACAGGAAGTTTCTAGCACTCTAAAAGACCTTGATCAGCTGGTTCAGGTGTTTCTAATTAAGTGGACACCACTTATTTAAAGCAATAGTTTACTCAAAGATGAATGTCATTTACTCACGTTTGTGTCGTCCCAAACCTGTATGACTTCCTTTCTTCTATGGAACACAAAAGATGTTTTTTTTTTAAAGTTAATTGTTTTCTTCATACACAAAGTAAATGGAGTCCAGAGTTTTTTTTTTTACCAAAATGACTTCCATTTTATGGACAAAAACAGTTGAAACATTCTTCAAAATATCTCAAGAAATAAAAGTACATCTTTTGTTATATTTATGAGTCTACGTTTCCTGTGCAGTCCACAGAAGAGCCCAGGTCGGAGAGGAGTCCTATTAAAGACATTACGGTTCAAATATTTGACTTGGTGAGCAAGCACAATGGTAACAGCACCATCATCAAAGCCATCACCGGCGTACGAGTTCACCAGACACCAAGCCCCAAAATTGGTAAGCAGCTCTCCATCACACTGGACATTGGGTCCATCTTTGCTAAAAAGTAGTCGAAAATCAAAGTATTAAGGTTTCCACAGTCAGGGCCAGTCGTATTAAAATGTATGTCCTTGGTCTGTCTTGCCTGAGCAATGTTTTACTGTCAAAAGAAGCTTTAAGTCATTGAAGCCATGGAATGTTACATCAACTCTGCCAGTTGGATGGAACTTCAATTAGACATCAGGGCCCTCTTTATGCATGCTGTTCATCAAAAATGGCATCCTATGTTTCTGCCAAGCTGCTTAGTCTCTTAACTTAAGAAACCTTTAAACCGTGTGCGCCAGCCTCTGTAGATTGGGCCAGGGGTCAAACAGTGTATGTCTTGTCCAAAATAGGAAAATGTTGCTGTTAAACTCATGTGTGGATTATTTTTTCCTACACCACTTCTGTTTTCAAACTCCAAGGTTTTCCCATATCCAAATGTTGATTTCTTTTTTTGCCATTACTGTATTGTCCCGAATATAAGACGATATTTTTTTCTTGGAA